GACAAGCGTCCTTGCACTGGTGTGGATCGCAGCACATGTTTCTTCACTTGGATGGTAACTGGGCTGAAAAGAAACATAATATCAAAGGGACATTTTTGGTAAGAAGAAACAGCTCTCTTTTGTCAAGATTTTGTTCTTTTGGTGAATAGGGAGTTACCTTTTAATATTGTAATACAGTGCAGAGCCACTAATGTAAGGTAAAAAAACAATGTAATGACTTACAGCATACAGGTGTAACAAGATGATGTAATGCTTGATTGTTAAGCAAGACCAGAGGTAATGGTGAAATTTGATTGTTTGTTCTGGGTATAAATGTAACAGAGACAGAACAGACCTTGCCACTCAGCAGTAAGTCTGGTGGTCATTTACTTCTATGTCATTGCTCTGAATGTTACTATGCCAAATGCATCTTGCCATGTTTATATGTGTAGCCATAATCAATATAATATATTATAATCACCAAGAACTCTCTCATGTTGTTTTCTCCCCACGTACAGTGGTGCCCCGCAAGACGATATTAATTCGTTCCATTGAAATAGCTGTTTTGCAAAAACATCATCTTACGAAAAGCGTTTCCCTATTGGAATGCATTGAAATCTGTTTAATGCATTCGAATGGGGGAAAGTCGTCGTCGTCCAGTGAAAATAGCCCATAGGAAAGCCATTTTCCGAAGTGCCGATCAACTGTAAAAATCGCTGTCTTGCGAAAATCGGTCCTGAAAAAATACCCGTCTTGCGAAGCACAGACCAAATTATCATCCAGCGAATATCCCCCATAAGAAAGCCTGTTTTGCGAATCGCTCTAGTGACCGCAAAAAGTCATCGTCCTGCGGATTACCCATTTTGTGGGGTAATCATCTAGCGAGGCACCACTGTATAAGTCTCTAGGTCTCTTACTTTGCTAAAGTTAAGTGGGAAAAATGGAAGCATTCTGACAGAGTGCTCTTGCCAAGCTTCACATTCAACCATACTCTAAGAAGTTTTCTTGAGGCCAGAGACTCGTTAAGCCTCTGGAGTTTTGGCCCCAAGCCAACATCTTTCTCACCCTATCTGGTGCTTCTCCGTCAGATCAGACATTTTCATCCCAGTCATTCAGATTCTGCTGTACAGTTCATGCAGAACTAGATCTACGCACAGAGTTGGCTAGGATGGGTTGGTTGGTCTCAATTGTTTTTTTTTTTTATAAAACAACTTGTAAAGTCATGGCTCAAACTTCTGAAACCATCTCAGCCACGCAAGTCTGACCAACTTGAGCCACCTTCCAACTCTCTGCAAAACCAACACTCTTAGAAGAATGTCATACTCCTCATGAAACCAATGCACACACACAAACATACACAAAATACTGAGCCATGTATATTAGTGAGTTCCAGAGAACCACCTCAGAACTGAGCTATCCCACTGCAGAACCAGCTTCAAACATCTTTAAACACAGACAACAGACATAAGACAGTTGCTACAGATGTACTCACCCAAGTAAGACCGAAGGGAGAAAATGTCCAGGCGAGACGAGGGAGCCAAGGGAAGCGACGGCTTTTATATGCTTCCCAAGAGCCCCATAAAATGACCCATCGGTTTCATCCAGAATAACAAGCTGGTGACTTAACCACCGTCATCAATAATTTCTGTGAATCAATACATAAAAACGAACACCACCGTTTTCAGGTCTTGGATGTATTTTTTTTCCCAGCACGTGCCTTTGGACGTCACCCTGATCCTGTTCCATTCTTCGAAGAGAGAAATAAAAATAGTACACCCCATAATTTCAGTAGATGGGGCAGGATCCCCCTATTCCAAGAGGCAAAATAAGCTTATGAATTTGGGACACTGCAAGTAACTTATACAAAACAATATGCAGAAGGGGACAAACATGGTAGGACCTCCATGTCCTACAGCCTAAGAGTCTCGATTTATTAACTTCACATATCCTAGGACTCTCTATTTATTAATCTCGCATAAAAATCTTTGGAATGAGCCCTGAGTTGCATGGAATTGGGCAAAAGAACAGGCGAAAACTGGGAGGGAGGTCTCATTTTCCTAGGAAACTAAGATATTTTGGTGGCACGGGGGGTGGAATCTTGGAAAATGTCTCACCATGGAAAAATCAACAAGACTGGATTGTGGGTTGTTGTTGCAGTTCAATCCATTGGAATTCTTATTGTGATCAACAAATTCCCCACCATGTGCTCAATCTCGTTTTTGTTTCATCGTGTCTTGTTTTAGCGAATTTTTTTAAAGAAAAGCAACAGATCACGGGTGGTTTTTAAAAAGTGCCTTTGCTTGTGTGAAACTGCAAAGAGTATCTGCTTATAAACCGTGCCATCTAAGGTGGCAGAACAATGTCATTTTGCATAATACAATGTCCTGCAGTCTTGTGACGAAGCAAGATCATTCTCCTTCGAAGATTCGCCACTTCTGGATTCAAAAAATGGAATTCCGCTTCCCAAAATCCAAGTATTAGATCTTCCAAGTGTTCGATGTTAATATTTCAGGAATGATGTCAACGTGTGTCAGACAACCTCCTTTCCATCCACATCTGGTGCAGAAAAAAAAATCCAGGGTTTATTTGTTTATTTATTGTGCTCACCTTTGGTTTTATGGTGTCCAAACTTAGCTTTGCCAGTCACCCTGAGGAATGCAACCTTCCCCCTTATGTCATAACAAAATTGCTTCCTATTCTTGGATTCAGGCCTTCTAAACACTTGGAGTGATTCTCCCTAGAGGAATGACATGGTCATTCTACATAATGATGGGGTTTAAAAAAAGAAAGGGGGGCAGAGACAAAAATCGAAGAGGGGAACCAAAGAACAGCATGAATGATGTAAACATGGGGCATGTCACGTGGAAATCCGTATTAAGCTCCCAGGGAAATAGAAGAGAAATATGTGATGGCTGTCGAAGATTCATATGATCATGGGGATTGAGCACTAGCAGATCAAAACGCTGGTTCGACAGGAGAGCACTCCTAAGAACCATCTCTCTCTATTTGAATCTTTGTATTAAAGCAGTGGTCACCAACCTTGGGCCTCCAGGTGTTCTTGGACTACAACTCCCAGAAGCCTCCACCACCACCTCTGCTGGCCAAGATTTCTGGGAGTTGAAGTCCGAGAACATCTGGAGGCCCAATGTTGGGGACCACTGTATTAAAGAACATTACTGGGTGAATGATGGGAGAGATAGGAAGCCAACGACTTATACAACCTAGCATTCTTGCCAAACATGTTCTACTAAGAATCCCATCAACCACTACCGTCATAGACCATTATCAGAGATTATGGGGTTTGTAGTGTTAAAGGAGGAATCAAAATGTATCTTGAACAAATGCTAGACTTTATTTGCATATTTTCACACTGAAGTGGAAGGCTGGGAATCACAAGGGATAAAATTTGTTGGTTTGGATGGAGATTCTTTCTTTTGATTCTGTGGGGGGAATTTTTTTTTGATGGACCTTCTAAAAAACCACAGGTCTTTCCTCCTGTATCATTAAGGTGGTCTGGGACCACAGCCTCCGACAATGGGCAGGTTTTCTTGAGTACAGGTCAAGCCACAAAGAGGTTGGAGAAAATGAACAACAGCTGTACTGCCAGACATCATAGATTTTATTTTATGCACTTCATTTTAAAGCAGACAAGAAAGCAAAGCAAAGCAAACCCAGCCTTAAAAAGTGTTAGTTCCAAGAAGCAGTAAATGGGTTTCCCTCTGAAAATTCTTTTGATATTTGGTTGACCAAAAGCCACCATTAGATAATCGCCATATTTGAATATTTGTTGCATTGTTGGACTTCAGAAAACTGACACAGAGAGGTATTTGATTCCAGCATTTTATACTTGGTGAATGATTGTAGGAAACATTTGATATACAGTATAACATACATCCATATATAGAATTTATCTTTGGGAGCCAACATGCAGAAGCGTTTAGCATTTGACCATGTGCTACGGTTGACATGCAGTGGCATTTGCTATTCAACTTTCTTCAGCCCCTGACATCCAAAAGATGCTAAAAATCAACAACATTTCATGGCCATTTCTGAAATTTCGTATCCACCTTCTTCCAAAATCCAGAACAAATCAAAAGGGGCCACTCCTTGATAGACTGCTCTCATTCCAAAATTTGAACTGACATTTCCTATCCCAAATCCGAACCCGAGAGTGGCATTTGCTATTCAACTTTCTTCAGCCCCTGACATCCAAAAGATGCTAAAAATCAACAACATTTCATGGCCATTTCTGAAATTTCGTATCCACCTTCTTCCAAAATCCAGAACAAATCAAAAGGGGCCACTCCTTGATAGACTGCTCTCATTCCAAAATTTGAACTGACATTTCCTATCCCAAATCCGAACCCGAGCATATGATTTGAAACCAT